TCAATACTACCGATCCTTCCGCTTCCACTAAAGGTAATCTATATCTTTGTTTGCATTGATGTATATGTCGAATCTTATATATTCGGCATTTAGAAATATCTATATGCGTATTTAGGGATTTATCTCTAGTTTTGTTGCATGTACTTGTATATGCATATATGTATAGTAACACCGATAAATCTATCTTTACGGATATTACCATATGTGTAGTTTCGCGATAGATATACACAACTGTGAATATTGTTGTATGAGCGTATTAGACAATATCACTTTAAGTTTTGGTATCTGCTAATGAAACATTGTCTGCTATCTGTCTTCTATCGTTGATTCGTGACCTTTGTTTGATCGTATATGAATTGTCTTTGCGGAATCCTGAAGTTAAACCTTATGTCAGTCAATCTCTTGATAGAAAGAGTTAAATCCTAGAGTTAATTGAAAGTACAAGAGTAGATGTCTGTGTTAGGGAGAAGAAGGATGGTTGTAGATTAGCTCAGTATTTAAGAGCTACATTCTACAAGATGATGAATTCGAGAGCTGTGGCTTATCTAGAATTCGTTATACCCTTAACTTACATATGCAAAAGAGATCATGATTCATTATAGTTGCCTCATTACTTCATAAGTAATCCATGTGTTTTGCTTTTAGCTATCACAGTGAAAGTAATGATAAGCAACATTATTATAAGTTGTAAGATGGTCATTCAAGATCTCTTTTATATTTGGCCTCCAAATCTTTCACCACTTGCAGTTTGACAAATTCATGCTCTACTCTTACAGGAATCCAAATCCTCACAAGAGCTCAAACTAGCCATCCATTGGACCCGTTATCTGCTGCTGAAATCAAAGTAGCAGTAGCAACTGTCAGGGCAGCTGGAGCGACACCTGAGGTATTAATTGGGATTATGCTGTTAACATTCAAATCATCGTAATCATGATGAATGATGACATACTAATTGTGTGTTTGAATTTTCTTTTTCAGGTCAGAGATGGTATGCGGTTTGTGGAGGTGGTTCTATCAGAACCAGATAAAAGTGTTGTTGCACTTGCAGATGCATATTTCTTTCCACCTTTCCAACCTTCTTTACTACCCAGAAGCAAAGGTGGTGCTGTAATACCTAGTAAGCTTCCTCCAAGGAGAGCTAGACTTGTTGTCTACAATAAAAAATCAAACGAAACAAGCATTTGGATTGTTGAATTATCCGAAGTACATGCAACAACTCGTGGTGGACATCATAGAGGGAAAGTCGTTTCTTCAAGAACAATTCAAGATGTTCAGCCTCCCATGGTACTCTACTCTACTCTACTCTACTCCCCATTCTTTCTCTTATATAAATCGAAAAAAAAAGATTTAACTTTACTGATGCCCTCATGATTATCCATCCATCCATCACAGGATGCTGTTGAATATGCTGAATGTGAAGCTGTTGTGAAAGAGTACTTTCCTTTTCAAGAAGCTATGAAGAAGAGGGGTATTGAAGATATGGATCTTGTGATGGTTGATGCTTGGTGTGTTGGTTATCATAGTGAAGCAGATGCTCCTAGCAGAAGATTAGCAAAACCACTTATCTTCTGTAGGACTGAAAGTGATAGCCCAATGGAAAACGGATACGCCCGACCCGTTGAAGGAATCTATATTCTTGTTGACATGCAAAACATGGTTGTCATTGACTTTGAAGACCGAAAACTTGTCCCATTGCCACCTGCTGATCCTTTAAGAAACTACACTCCTGCTCATACACGAGGTGGCGTTGACCGAAGCGATGTAAAGCCACTACAAATTCTTCAGCCCGATGGGCCCAGCTTCCGTGTTAATGGCCAATATGTTGAATGGCAAAAGGTAGTGATGTGGCATCTTAATTTTTTTATATTAGTAAAACATATATGTTAAAAATGACTTTTTTTTTTTTTTTTTTTTTTTTGTTGATAGTGGAACTTTCGTATTGGGTTTACTCCAAGGGAGGGATTAGTGATACACTCAGTTGCATATGTTGATGGAAGCAGAGGTAGAAGACCAATTGCTCATAGATTGAGCTTTGTTGAAATGGTTGTTCCTTATGGTGATCCAAACGATCCACATTACAGAAAGAATGCGTTTGATGCAGGTGAAGATGGTCTTGGAAAAAATGCTCATTCTCTTAAAAAGGTTTGCTCATTTATGTTTTTAAAATTGAGGTGTTTAACTGTAACTGTAACGTGTGAGTATATGCTTAAAGAGTATTGTTTTTTTTTTATAGGGATGTGATTGCCTAGGTTATATCAAGTACTTTGATGCGCATTTTACAAACTTCACTGGAGGTGTTGAAACAATTGAAAATTGTGTATGTATGCATGAAGAGGATCATGGAATCCTGTGGAAGCATCAAGACTGGAGAACTGGCTTAGCGGAAGTACGAAGATCTCGGCGTCTTACAGTGTCATTTATATGTACTGTTGCCAATTACGAATACGGATTCTATTGGCACTTTTATCAGGTGAGTTAGTTATATTTATATACTACATGATTTCAAAACCTAATTATGAATTTTCAGTTATTTAAATGATGGTGTATTGTATGGTTTTGTTTGCAGGATGGAAAGATTGAAGCTGAAGTTAAACTTACAGGGATTTTGAGTTTAGGAGCATTGCAGCCTGGGGAAGTTAGAAAATATGGGACAACAATTGCACCAGGGCTGTATGCGCCAGTTCATCAACACTTTTTTGTTGCTCGTATGGATATGGCTGTTGATTGCAAGCCTGGAGAAGCATATAACCAGGTATATAACATATTTAAAAAAATGTTTGAATGATTCGTTCAAAGTTCAAACCAACCAAACAGGATAATGGAACGTAATGATCCATTCCATTTTTTTTGTGAATTGTGATTCCACTCCACCTTACCAAAACAGACCCTTATTGTGTTTTGTTTGTTCACTTCAGGTTGTTGAAGTTAATGTGAAAGTTGAAGAATCTGGGAAAGATAATGTCCATAATAATGCATTCTACACCGAAGAAACTTTACTTAAAACTGAAAATGAAGCTATGCGTGATTGCAATCAGTTATCTGCTCGTCATTGGATTGTAAGCATGTTTTCCCTTTTAAAAGAATTATTTATATGTATATAAAAATCTTTTTGTAGATTATTGGTGAAATGTGTATGTAGATTAGAAACACTCGGACTGTGAATAGAACGGGGCAGCTGACCGGGTATAAGCTGGTACCGGGTTCAAACTGCTTGCCATTAGCAGGTTCAGAGGCTAAGTTTTTGAGAAGGGCTGAATTTCTTAAACATAATCTTTGGGTTACACCTTATGCACTTGATGAGAATTTTCCTGGAGGAGAGTTTCCTAATCAGAATCCACGTGTTGGTGAAGGCTTAGCCTCATGGGTCAAGCAAAATCGTTCCCTTGAGGAAACTGATATCGTACTTTGGTCAGTCAACATATATTTATTTTTTTTCCTTTGAATTTGATCTCACCAATTCACCATCCTACATGTCAGGTATGTATTTGGGATCACTCATGTTCCTAGGTTAGAAGACTGGCCTGTTATGCCAGTTGAACACATTGGTTTTATGCTTCAGGTAATCATCTACTTATTATAACTTATCTTGATCAATCAATATCATAATCCCTTTATGAGTACTTTTTTTTTTTTTTACCCAAGATTCCCACGTAATCCCTCTGACCCTGACCCTGACCATGGTCCCTCTCCCTGTCACTGGCACCCTACCAACAACTGTGGGTACATCCAACATCCAACATCCATTTGTATTATGATCCGACAATCAAACAAATATCTTATTTGCTAATTTATTTTTTTTCTAAATATATTTGGATGCAGCCACATGGATTCTTCAACTGCTCACCAGCGGTTGATGTCCCTCCAGGAGTGTGTGAGATGGATGTGAAAGACAATGAAGCTAAAGAAGGCGTTGGAGTTGCAACCAAGTCTGTTTCAAATGCTTTGATTGCCAAGCTTTGATGTATGTAGTTGAAGTTTGTATGACCTATTTTTATATTATACTTTGGTTGGTTGTGCTATGAATTTGACCCAGTCTCCATTTCACTTCATTTCATATGTTTCCTTTGGTACGTACTATCATTTTTTTGTTTAAGATAAGTTTGGACCACGACCGATGAAATTCAAAGCTGGTTCATAAGTGTAGTTAGTCATCACGTGTCACTCTGGACTTTTTGGTCATATCTCCGACACCTCACTATTGCTATTAGGTATCACTCTCTTTATATCTTCAAAATATCTAATTATGTAGTCGATAATAATATGGCCCACTATATGCCACTATAGGAAAAGCATATGCTCCTTTACCCTACTTTTTTTTTTTACTTGTTGCTTAAGGTCAATCGTTTTAAAAGTAGTCCCTTGGTTTTAGACTAGTCCACTAAACAATCATCATTCTTTTTTTATTATTTAAGCGTAAAATATCCGTATCGTTTTACTTTGGTTTTAGACTACTTTTTTTGGCTACTTCTTTTTCTTTCTCTTTGTAGTGATATTGGTTGCTTCAAAAATTAGTTTTAAATTTAGATCTGCTTTGTTTGCTATCTGATATAATATACATGTGATATAGATTTATTTTTTAGTTGTGGGTGGTTGACGTGGTTGGTTTTATATATAGACTAGAGACTAGAGAGTAGAGATACGACAATTAACCAACATAGATAGCTAAACCCATTAATGTCTAGGTTTGACGGAGTGGACGGAGTCTCGTTTACACTGCAAAATCATCTTCACATTCAATCAAAATTCAAAATTATTGGTTTGGCCACGGAAAGGTTATGTGAAAGTAGAAATTTCTTACGTGTGAGTGTGTTGGAAAAACACATCACTTATCACTTATTCTCTCTCCTCTTCACAACCATAAAATATTTCCCTAGTCGTATTCGTAAACAGTCGAACTAGTCTAGTTGTAGTCATCCTCATACTACCTCCGCCCCTGCTACAATAATGTCAAACAATCCTCAATCCCCACCGTGACACCGTCTGTCCTGCCGCCCACCGCCATGGCCCAACACCACAAATCCATCCAACAACTCGCCCTCCAAATTCTACTAGCTGACAGACTCGTCAAATCCGTTAAAGACCTTCAACCTTCAAAGCTCGACTGTTCCGACCTCGCTACACTCGCCGCCCAACTCGCCCACCTCCTCCGTTCCACCGCTCGACTCGTTACCTCCTCCTCCACCACATTTTACGACCGCCCTCTCCGCTCCATCTTCTCCAATCTCTCCTTGAATCTTGAACGAGCCCAGACGCTTGTTCGCAAGTGTAAGCAACGAAGCGGCATCCTCCGTCAGGTCTTTGCTATCACCACCTCTGCGGATGTCCGGAAAGTGTCGAGTCTTCTGGAGTCTTCCATCGCCGATATCAAATGGCTCCTTTCCGTTTTTGTTCCGGATGACAACGCCGGTGTAAACCCTTCCCTCCCTCCCATTGCCAGCAACGACCCTGTACTCGCCTGGGTTTGGTCCAACATTGCCACCGTCCACCATTCCACGCAACTCAAAGTCCGAGTCGACGCTGCAAATTCCCTCGGATCATTAGCCGGTGACAACGACCGGAACAAGAAGATGATCATTGAAGAAGACGGAATTCCGCCGCTTCTTAAACTACTAAAAGAAGGAGCGTCACCGGAGTCCCAAATTGCCGCCGCTGCCACGCTCCACGCTTTAGCAACCGATGGAGAAAAAATCTCCGCTTTTGTTCGATCCATGGCTATTCCCACCATTGTTCAAGTCCTTAACGATTCCACATCCGTAGTTGTCCGAACAAATGTGATCAATCTGTTGTCAAAAATGGCAGAAATTGATCCATGTGTACAGGAGGAATTCGGAAGGGAGAACGTGACGAGACCAATCGTCACATTCTTAGCAAACGACGTCGTTCTGGATGACATAATTACCACTTCTGGGTACCAATACCATTTCAGTTCTTCCTTATCTTTCAACTATAAGAAAGAAACCGACGTCGCTTCACCCGAAGAAAAACTCGATCTCAAGATAAGTTGTGCGAGGGCATTATGGACATTATCAAAAGGGAGTTTATCGAACACTAAGAAGATCACCGAAACAAAAGCATTAATTTGTTTAGCAAAACTCATCCAACACGAAAACCCACAACTACAGATAAATTGCTTAATGACAGTCACCGAGTTGACTGCAGTCGCCGAGTCAAACGCCGAGTTAAGACGTCAAGTGTTCAAACCCAATTTGCCAGCTGCAAGAACCCTATTGGACCAGCTTCTACGAGTCCTGAACCACGAACCCAACCCGGACCTGGTGGTTCCAGCCATAACGACAATTGGTTCACTGGCTCGAACCTTTCCTGCTAAAGAGACTCGAATACTTGGACCTCTAGTTTCAAAGCTAGACCACGAAGTGAGTGACGTCACTAACGAAACCGTGATGACATTGACGAAATTCGTTTGCCCTGACAACTTCAACTGTGTGGAACACTCGAAGGCGATTTTGGAGTTCAATGGGGTTCCTCGTATAATGGGCTTCTTGAAAAGTAGCGATGATATCAAGATTCAAGTTCTTGGGCTTAAACTCTTGTGTTATCTTGCATTACATGTGGGTAATAATAACGTTCTTGAAGAAGCTAGAGTGTTGAGTGTCATTGAAGGTGGTGCTCGATCTGTTTTGACTCAGTATCCCGACATGAGAGAGCTTTTCGCGAAAGCAATGCATCATCTGAATTTGTATCAACCGGGTGTTCGTACACATAAGCCGGCTTATGTACCATGATATTTCATGCGAGTCGTTGTACATTTTCAGAGACTTGTAAATTGTAATGATTGATGAGTGTTTGTAGGATTCGAATTTGTGATCTTTTTGGATGCCTTAAGGGGCGTAGGTATGTGACATGATAGTTTGTTCAATGTTTGGTATATATTAAAATTGAAGTGTGTGACCGATATAGATGAGAGAAAAAATGTAATTTTTTACACAAGTATTTTTATCATCGGAAATAACTTTAGAAAAACTATAAACGTTTAATCTTGAACTAGAATCATTTGTTTTTGAGTTGATTCTTTACTCGAACCTTAAAACAAGAAATAATAACCAATGTTTTGGTTGTGCTCACAACTTTTGCTTAAGTTAAGTCTCAACCGAAACCCTAGACGCATGAAGCTTCTAGTTCTTTTTACAATTTCAAAATAAACTCCACGACCACATGTGTGTAATGATTTAAAACGCATGACTCTTGGTACATTCTAGAAACATCTAGAGCCTACTTTGGTTACTGCAAAACAAATGCCTCCTCATTCAATTCATGCATTCGGTGAACCCCTTCCGACCCTTTTGTAATGAATGTTCCATAATGAACAATATAAAACACACGACTCTTGGAACTTTCTAGAAACAGTTAGAGGCTTCTTTGGTGAGTGTTAACACCCCGTTTTCAAGTTTAAACATGAGTGAAAGGAAATGGATCAAAAATTCTTTCTCAATCATTTTTTTTTGGGCAAAAATCTTTTACTTTTCTTCTATTTCATTTCTTTTCCATCCTTCAAAAAACTCAAAAACCCAAAATTTCTCTCCTTTCCTTTCAAAAGAACTCGAGAATAGGATCATCCTACCCTTTTGTAATGAATGTTTCCTAAACCCTAACTCTAAGGCAAAAAAAGAAGTGGATAATGATGTTATTCTTTCTTTGTTAAGAAACTAAAACCAGATTAAATGACTCTTGTTGGAGGTTCGTTTCATGTCAATTATGTCTATATAAGTACATTGTCTAGCTTCTTGATCTTACTCTTCTTACATCATAAACGTGTTTTGTGAATCATTTTCAGTGACGTTTTTCACTAAACAAAAGTCTCTTTCGCTTTAAAGACATCTATATACGGGTGTTGAACTATCTTTTCAAGATTTCAAGATTCGACTTGTTTTAGAATCTTTTCTTATCAAACCCTTCTTTGGAGCAACCCCTTTTCACTTGGTAATTTGTTCAAATTCCCAAAATGGAAAACAACAAATAAATGCAGTTGCTTTCAACTACGTTATGTTCTTCAGGTTGCCTGTTGTTATTGTCAAATACATTGCTCCTCAAGCAGATGAGTACAATTATTGAACTCCAATGTGAAAAAAAGATGATTCAAATCAAATTGGGCTCTTCAACTTACTGCAAGTTTTGACCTTTTTAATGAATAATTAAATAACAAAATGAAAGAAATAGATAAATATTTTACCCTTTATGATGCATCTTTTAATTATCCATTTTATGGCAAAACTTTAAAGTGATTCATTATAGTCTCTCAACTGTCCAGGTGAGCCCCATTATGAACTTCAAAAGCCAAATTATATTTGTAATCAAATGAGTTTCGTAAAGTTTTAAATCTCCATATTTTAGTTGTTTCTAGAAAAAATTTCAAGAAATCGACATGGAACAAATTAAATTAAACATTTGGTTGATTTATAAATACACCGTAAAAATGTTGAAACTCTTTTTATTAATTTATCATACAATCATAACTTTTGAACCAAACAAAATTATAGGGCCATGCGGATGTCAGGTCCAAGATTCTTCCTCTTTTGGGCCCTAATTTCAAATTTCAAGATTTTTATATATTTGTTTTTTTTATTATCTAATTTGTGAAATCTGAAAGAATGTTTTTACATTGTATTATGGGTGCAAAATTTCAATATTTTAAGTACAATATCTGTTTTGGTTCTGAATCATACAGAATCGGATTTGTAACTTCTGAAACTATTTTAATTTGAAAACATTTAGTTATTCAATGTGATTTACCAAAGAATCCCTTACCCTTAGGTTATCATGAGTAAGTACCAACCGTTTACCAAGGAAAAGGTTTTGATTTAGGAAGCATCTTTTTTATGTGTCATTAAGTGTTGAATTAAAGTGAATATTATTGGGTGGGCTGGATTGTTACTTTTAAAATAGTTGAAGTATAATGAAGGGATGACTTTGTTTACCTTAGGCTATTATGCTCCCAACAACTTGTGTAAAAACTTTTGGTTCTTGTAGGCCTATTTGTTGGTGAACTTATTAAGGCAAATGGGGAAGCTTGGTTTGTTTTGTATTTTACTATTTAAGCATCATTTAATTAGCATACTTGAAGTATGTCATTATCTTCTTTCATGACTAGAACGACGTCGCTCTTTCGTGTGCATCTGTTTAACCTTTTGTTATCCGTTTTGATGATCAAGGTACACCATGGCATTTAAACTTAACAGGGTTGGTAATTTAGATTTGTATATATCTTAGTTTTGTGTATTGTCATATGGCTAAACAAGTGTACTGCATACGTATTTGATTAAGATTTATGTTCACTAATTGTTCTTGCATTTATTGTGTCGGGATCACTTATATTTTATAAACATTTCAGAGAATAATGATATATTTGGGGAGACGAAAAAAATGAAATGAACCAAGACATAATTGTAAAGCCAAGGATTTAATGGGGGAAAACGTGGAGACTCAGATTTCATTTATTAGCTTGATTTTTTTTGTTTTAAATTAGTAAAATGAAAACACTAATGCACAAGCATATATATATATATATATATATATATATATATATATATATATATATATATATTATATATATATATATATATATATATATATATATATATATATATATATATATATATATATATATATATATATATATATCATGATCTTTTGTGAACTAGTTTTCTTGGGATATTATTTTCACAAAAAATTACTTATAATGTGTAACATCCAGATTTCATATACTTTTATTAATTATTGAATCTTTAAAAGTGGTACATTTGGTCCCTTGGAGAGAAGAGCTTGCGAATTGGTTGTACGCAAGACGTACGTAAGAGTACGTGCAGCGTACTCATGCAGTTTTGGAACGCGGATGATCAGCTAGTACGCTGGGCGTACGTGTGCTACGTCGGACGCACTAGCCTAGACTTCAAACCCTAATTTTAAGGGTTGTCCTCTATTTAAAGAACATTATGTCTTCATTTGATCGTCCTTATTAGTCACCAAACCCTCCCTAAAACCCTAATCCCGACTTGTGTTGCTTGTGTGAGTTTTATGAGCTTAGTAAGTGTGGTTGGTGCATTTTTTTTAAAGAAGGAGTCTAGAGAAGAAGAAGTGGTTACTTGCAAGCCTGAAGATCCAGAAACCTTTCATCTCTGTACATCATTTTCAGGTATAAAGTCTATACTTTGGCAAGCTTTTCATTAGATTTCATGGTTGAAGTTTTATGAACTTTTGACCCCAAGATTGGACCTTTATGAGTTTGGAGCACTCCAGGAAATTGTACATGTCCTTTCATGCATGTTAGTGTAAATCTACGATTTTCCCATGAAAGTCGTTCTTCATTACGCACACACACTCACACACGCACAAATATATATATATAATTGGGCTATACTAAACTTGGCTAAATACAATTGGGTTGTACATAAATATACACTAATACACCCCCATAGTTTGAGCAGGAAGACGATAGCAGATGCTCAAACTGGATCTAAAATGTGTGAAAAGAGATGAAGGGAGTCCCTTGGTAAAGATATCAACATATTGATGGGACGATGGAACATGAAGAACACGGATCTGACCCGAAGCAACCTTGTCACGAACAAAATGAATATCCATTTCTATGTGTTTTGTGCGTTGATGTTGAACAGGATTACAGGATAAATACACAACACTGACGTTGTCACAATAAACAATTGTTGCTTTTGCAAAAGGAGAGTGTAGTTCTTGAAGAAGATTGTGAAGCCAACATGTTTCAGCTACAACATTGGCGACACCTCTATATTCTGCTTCTGCATTGGAATGAGAGACAGTTGGTTGATGTTTAGAAGACCAAGATAAGAGGTTGTCACCCAAAAAAACACAATAACCACTAGTGGAGCGTCGAGTCGATGGGCACCCTCCCCAGTCTGCATCAGAGTAAGTTATAAGGCCCGTAGTGGTGGATGGGTGTAGCTGAAGACCATAGTCAAGAGTGCCGCAAACATAGCGAAGGATGCGCTTTAGGGGATGAAGATAAGGTTCTCGAGGGTCATGCATGAATAAGCATATTTGTTGCACGGCGTACCATAAGTGTGGACGGGTAAATGTTAGACATTGTAGACCACCCGCGAGGTTGCGATAGATAGATGGGTCCGAAACAGGAGAGCCATGGGGATCCAGTTTGGGCTGAGTGTCAGCTGGAGTGCGAGAAGGGTTGCAGTTTGACACGTTTTCTCTTTCAAGAAGTTCCATAGCATACTTGCGTTGGGAAAAGAAGATACCCCTGTCATCACGTGTAGCAACAATGCCCAAAAAATATGATAATTCTCCCAGATCTTTCATGGCAAACTCGGAGGCCATAAGAGAAATAATATGCTGCAATAACTGAGGAATGGAGGCTGTGAGGATAATTTTATCAACATATAAAAGTAAGTATGCCACATCAAGTCCCTGCAAAAAATAAAGAGAGAAGAGTCGCATCTGCTGTGAGTGAACCCAATTTTGGTGATATAAGCTGAAAATCTTTGAAACCAAGCTCAAGGAGCCTGTTTTAAACCATATAGGGATTTATTTAGTTGGCACACGTGATCAGGATGTGTAGAATCTCGAAATCCAGGTGGTTGATGCATGTAAACAGTCTCGTGAAGATGATCGTGTAGGAAAGCATTCTTAACATCCAAATGATGGATGGGCTAATGACGAGAGATAGCAAGACTCAAAACTGTGTGAATGGAGGCCGGTTTAACGATCGGACTAAATGTCTCATCATAATCGATCCCGGGCC